ACACACCCCAAAATCAAATTCACCATGGAAATGGAAACAAACAAACAACTACCATTCCTAGATGTACTAATCTACAAAAAAACAGATGGCACACTAGGACACATCATATACCAGAAGAAAACACACACCAACTGCTACCTCAACACCCAATCCCCCCCACCACTCAGCACAGATAAACTCCGTGGCCAAAGCACTAATTGCCAGAACCAAACACCTGGCAGACAAGACACACAAAAGACTGAACTATGCACCCTGACTAAAGTACTGACAGCCAACAGCTTCCACAAAAGCAAAAAGCAACAAAAGCAATGCTGCTTCCCCGGCCAGCGGAGAGAGCCCGAAGCCGCCTGTCCTTTCCACCCCTTGCCCAGCCCGTCCCTGTCCCCACGCATCTCCAATTGAGCCGGCATCTCCAAATGCTGCAAAAGAATGGGCATCAGGCAGACACGCTGACTCGGCGGGGCTCAGCTCAGAGGAGGATGCGGCGCAGGCCATCGCCTTGTCTCCCTGTCCATGGATGGGTGGGTGCTATCACTGCCTCAGGCAGCCTCCCCGATGGCCCCTTTGGGTTTGGGCTGGAGGGACTTGGGAAGGAAGCCAAGCTTGGGTCGGCCTGGCTCTTTTGCTTGGCAGGTGGATGCGCACCCATGGCTTGCTTTCCTGGCTCTGTCCAGTCCGCATGGCTTTGGCATGGCCCTGAGAGGATGAGTCCAGTGGGGAGGCGCTCGCTGCCTTGGCGAGAGCTTTGCTTCCGGGCAGGAGGGCCCGCCTGTCAGCTGCGCTGGGTGCCCCAGGCGAAGCTCTTCATGTTCTGCCCAGTGCCAGGCAGGAATGGTGGCTGGGTGCTTCTCCTGGGCTGGGCCGATCCTGCGCTGTGGCCCCAGGAGATTTGCCTCCCCACATGGGGTTGGGCTGCCCTCTCAGGAAGGGGAGGCTTTGTTGTACTGGTAGTAGGGTGTCATTTTTAAAAGAATTGGCTTTGCCTTTGAAGTCGAAGGGAAGGCAGCGACAGGAGCGCCTGAAGCCGAGTGTCTCCGCCAGGCTCCAGTTGCAGGGAAGAGCCCTGGTTCGCTGCGCGTGGCTGCACCAAATGCTGCAGCGTTGCTCTAAACACCGCAGCAGCAAGGGAGAAGGGAAAGCAACGGTGGAGGAAGGTCTCCTGATACGAAGTGCCCCACCAACGCCAAAGTCAATGCAGCCAGCACCATATCCGGGTATGAAACAAAAGTATTTCCTAATGGCAAGCCCGCCCCCCCCAACCATTCCCCCCCATTTTGTATGTTTAATATAGGCCTTAATTTGGGGGAAGGGGCTTAATTTGATTTTGTGCCGATAAAACATGCTGGGCCTTCCTATTGGTGGAGGCCGTATTGTTGGAGAAACACACACATATATATATGTGTGTGTGTGTGTGAGAGAGAGAGAGGGGCGGGAGGGAGACAGAGTATGCATACTGTAATGTAGCATATGAGAAATAGGTATTATGTACAAATATAAATGAATAAAGAAGAATAAATGTGGAAAGAAAATAAAAATGAATGATCCAGTATGGAAAAATAAATTGAATGAGTTTGATTATTTAAAGAGAATAAATGAAGACGGAATCACAAAACAAATATTTGAAGGAAACATAAATCAATGGAGAAAAAGCAAAAGACTGAGAAATTCATGGTTGGACTGCAGTGATGCAATACTGGAAAAATAAAGAGTGTGATACATAAAATGGTGCAAGCAAAGATGGTGCATGAGAACAGAAAGATAAGGAGAAGGCTTTCGTATAAGGGGGTCTCTGCAGATTTTACTGACTATAAAGGTCAGTGCTTTTATTGACTATAAAGGGCAGTATTCATCTCCATCTCAAGCAGAAGTGGTACTCAGCAGGTTCTGACCAGTTCTGGAGAACCGGTAGCGAAAATTTTGAGTAGTTTGGGGAACCAGAAAATACCACCTCTGACTGGAGATTTTACAGTATCCTTCCTCTGCCACACCCACCAAGCCACACCCACAGAACTGGTAGTAAAAGTTTTGGAATCCCACCACTGATCTCAAGGCCATTGAGCTAGCACTGTCGGAAGACATTTCTGTGGTCCTGTGGCCAGTGTTGTTACCTTCCCACCAAAGTAATACCTATTTATTTACTCACGTTTGCATGTCCCTAGGGTGCTTTTTCAGGAGGCAACTGGACTTTCTTGTTTTCTCTTTGAGGACATTTCACTTCTCATCTAAGAAGCTTCTTCAGCTTTGACAGGATAGTGGGGAATGGAAGGATTTATATTCCTTGCAGACAGATGGTCATTTGCATCCTTTAAGAGGGTTGTTAAAGCACCTTTAGCTACACAATTTGGGATGAACACCCTTTGAATGGTTTGGGAGTAGGAATCAATTTCCAGAGGAAAAAATTGCAGACTACAGGAACCAGGAGCACTACTCAGGTGACCCTGAGGACACAGATAATCCTCCAAGTGTTTCAACGGCCCTCTAAAAGGATGCAAATGACCAGCTCTCTGCAAAGAATCCTTCCATTCCCCACTATCCTGTCAGAGCTGAAGAACCTTTTTGGATGAGAAGTAAAACATCCTCAAAGAAAGTCCAGTTGCTTCCTGAAAAAAGGATAACTGAGAATCTCTACAGTTTCACATTTGCATGCTTTCAAACTGCTAGGTTGGCAGGAGCTGGGGCAAGGATGGGATTCAACTCACCCTGTTGAATGGTGCTCAGAACTCAAACCTGGGCTGTCAGCTTTCAAGCCAACAAGTGTGGCATCTTAACTACTGAGCCACCACACTATCCTACATTTTAGTACTGTATAACGAGGCTGATATTGGAATAATGTTAATATATGCTACATTTGAGAGCCAATTTGGGGTAGTAATGAAGGCATCAGGATAGAAACTGGGAGACTGGGAATTCTAGTTCTTAAGCACAAAACTGGCGAGGTGATCTTGAGTCAGTCACTTTCTCTCAGCCCTAGAAAGCCGGCAATGATAAGCCATTTCTGAAATCTTACCAAGAAAACTACACTGACTTGAAGGCATAATATGATGTTTTTTTAAAGGCTACAATCAGTCATATTTCCTTTGACCTGTCTTATCACACTATTAATTTATTTAGTTTACTATTTCCTCCATCTGCTTTTAGTTATTTAGTTTACTATTTCCTCCATCTGCTTTCATAGATTGTTTACCCTGAAAATGAATAGTGTGATCTGGGAGTAAGTATGCATGTGTGTATGCCTAAGTAAAGTGTATTAACATAGTGTGAATACAAACATAATTAACAGAAATAACACCCTATTCACAGGAAACATATTAAGCAAATATTTTTAAAGCATCATATTAAGATAATTTGCACAACAACCTTCATGTAACTTTTGAAACACAGTTATATATAAAGCACAGGAATCCTGTGTGATAGCAAATGGGTTAAAAAAACTCCTCAGAGTAGGAGGTAGGAGGCATTCTTACCATAAATGGAACCATGGTGATGCAGTGGTTAGAATGTTCTATTGCAGCCTAATTCTGCCAACTGCCAGCAGTTCGATTGTCACCAGCTTCAAGTTGACTCAGCCTTCCATCTATTCAAATGAGGACCTCAGATTGTTGTGGGCAATATGCTGACTCTGTAAACCGCTTAGAGAGGGCTGTAAAGCACTATGAAGCGGTATAGAAGTCTAAATGCAATTGCTATTGTTATTGCTATAAAAGGTCAACACATTGTCTCTATCCACTAGTGAAGCACCTACCACATTGTCCTATAGAGTGTGGTAAAATATCACCCATCTCTAATGGACTTTTAGCACTATGCTTATGTATGTTATATGATCATGTTTCTCAGGCTAAATGAAAGCTTGTGTATTTAGGACTACATATTTGCTTAAAAAAACGTATAAAAATGAACAAATAAAAATAATAAATGGGAAGAGCCTCTAACAATACATGAGTGAGATTCAGAGGAATTTAGAGGAGAGGAGATGGGAAATTTACATGCTGTTGTGTATCATTCTTCCAAGGTTTCATCAGTGAGCTATGAATTGTCCTCTGTTTGAAGTGGAAGAACATTTCCATTTTTAGAAATAAACCTGCAGATCTATAATGAGGCAATGATAAGAATATGGTGGTATTGCTGTAGCTTGTTGTGCATTCTACTTATCATGTGTATGCATAAGCTGTTTAATGTGCTCATGCAAATGATGTCCATGGGAATAACATTTTGTGAATATGTAAATGACAAAATAACAGAGATGGATTTAGTCACATGTAAAGACAAACAGGTGATTATCATACCAGTAATGTGAATAACGCAGATGTCTATGGATACCATCTGTTCTGACCAAGACTTCCTAAGCCGTAATTATGCACACGCTTATTTTAAAAACAAGACTTATTTTATTGCAACGCTAGGAATTATTTTCATTCCCAGCCGGTAATGAATCTCAAACAGTCCCCCGAGATAAGCACCCATCTTTCTTTTCTGTGAAGTGCTGCCAATAATAGAAGTCTCAAATGAACTAAAAAAAAAAAAACCAGTCGAAGTACAAAGAGGTTCAAGAATGAACCAGAACCAAAAGAAATACTTTGCTTCCTGCAAAGGTTTGGTCATCTTTGCCTGACCTTTATACCTTATGGGAGGGGCAATCACCTCCCAGCCTTACTCCCAAGTTGCCTCTTTTGTTTCAGCTGATCTTGCCTTCTAGCAGCTCTGTGCATACACGCACTGGGAATAGGCTCCCTTGGGTTCTCTGTCTCGCTGCTGCCAAACTCTGGAGGCTCCAGAGGCAGCACCCCACTCCCAGATGCTCCTGGCCCCATCTCTGCATCAGACGCAGGACCCTCGTCCAAATCCTCTCCAAACTCCCTGACTGGTCCCCGTTCTTCCCCACTGTCTGATTCTGCTGCCGTCTGCACCTGCTGCTGGTGAACCATAACACTATCTGTCTATTCATTCTTAATATATAGAAAAGGAATATGCTAATCAATAATCTATCTTTCTTTTTTTTCTAGGCTGATGTATTTGATGTACAATATGGAAGTCCAGGAGATTTGCTCAGAATTAAACAGTTTACTAATGTATCCAGCAAAATTGCTCTTTTGAAACTTGGACATATGCCTTTACTGTATAAGGTTAGTTCTGGATTTTCCCCAGTGCATTTTTTTTTTCTTTCTGATTTTTGAATCGCAAGTAATAACTTGCAATCTGCGGTGTGGTTTTGTAAAGCTGCATTTGATTGTTTCTTTCTTTCTTTTTCTTAGTTCCCAATGTTATAAATGTTATAAACCTTTTCTCTAATGAACTGATTTTATTTTCCAAAAAAAGACAAAAAAAAAGAATGCTTGGCTCTAATTTATTGAATTTATCGAATGATTCTTATGATGAAATGGAGAGTTCAATTTATATACCTCAGATACCTTAGCCATTTTACTATATTTAATCTCTTGATCAAGAATTTGAAGAGGAGACAGTAACAGTTTTAGTTCAACTGACTTTGGTGGAAAGGTAGAAAGTTATCAAATGGTACCTATTAGCTTGGTATCTTTGTACATCAAATATCATAAATCAGTACTCTAAACCAGCCAAAGGTACTTTGGGATATTATTAACCAAAATGAAAATCTTCTTCCTGTCTGTGGTCAATGCTCTCCTAATAGGAGAGATTTTAGAATTAGAGATTGGATTAGGAAGCTTTCTGGAGCCCTTAGAGAATGGACTAAACCAATAATCTGTATCAGAATTGCAATGAATAGTTGAGATCGCTATTTATTATATATGTAGATTTTTGAATAACAGTTATGATTATCTCTTTGTGTATCCCAGTGAAAGGTTGCTTAAAACATATGCAATTAATCGTTGTTTTAAAATTTTTAAAATCTGTAGAGATTTTCAGTCATCCAGCTCCTGGTTGTCCCAAGGGTGTGTTTTTTCAAGAGGCATTTTTTTTCCTTTTGAAGACATTTCACTTCTCATCCAAGAAGCTTCTTCAGCTCTGACAGGATAGTGTCAGAGCCTTCTATTCCCCACTATCCTGTCAGAACTGAAGAAGCTTCTTGGATGAGAAGTGAAACATCTTTAAAAAAAAGTCCCTCTGCTTCCTGAAAAAGGCACCTTTTGTTTCATATATGTTTTATAGCCCAGAAAGACTGTTAGAAATCCATTTCTGGAGATTATACAATAGGTCACGTGATTTATACTTGTTCTGTTATTTGAGGGTTTTTTTTTATTTATTTAGCATATGGCTTTATTAGGTTAGTCAGAAGGTTACAGTGCTAATGTAGAGTAGTAGTTTGGCTGCCTGTTTACCAGTTCTGTAGGTACACACTTGCGCGCTTCTCAAGGTGTGCCACAGGAGGGTGAGCTAGCTTCATGAAAGAAATATGAGCAGCTTTTTTGGCAGTGCCATTCTAAGGAGCTTCTTCCTCCACCGAAGCCACATTGCAAATGGGCGCCAAAACCGGTAAGGTTCAGAGCTAGCAAGATCCTAATCACCGCAAGAAGTGCTGGCTAATCTCCCCACCAAAGTGGTACCTATTTATCTTCTCACACAGAACGTGCTTTCAACCTGTGAGGTGAGCAGAAGCTGAGGCAAGTGATGGGAGCTCACCCCACCACACAGTGCTAGGACTCAAGTCACTGGAGCAGAGATTATCTTCACTGTCTTTAAGCCACTGATTTGGGGTTGAAATCCATAACATTTCAATATGGCTTTGCTGCTTGTCATAGAGATCCAGATTAACATGGTTGGGAGGCACCTTGTAGGTCATCTAATGCAACCCCCCCACCCAAGCAGACCCTACACCATTTTGACAGATGGCAGTCCGGTCTCTTTTTGAAAGCTTCCAGTGATGAAGCTCCCACCAACTTCTGAAGGCAAGCTGTTCCATTGATTGATTGTTCTCACTGTCAGAAAATTTCTCCTTATTTCCAAGTTGAATCTCTCCCTGATTAGTTTCCATCCATTATTCCTTGTCTGGCCTTCGGGTACCTTGGAAAATAGCTTCCCCTTCCTCTCTGTGGCAGCCCCTCAAATATTGGAACACTGTGATCCTTTCTCCCCTGGTCCTTCTCTTCACTAGACTAGCCATGCCCAGTTCCTATAACCGTTCTTCATATGTTTTAGCCTCCAGGCCCCTAATCATCCTGGTTGCTCTTCTCTGCACTTTTTCTAGAGTCTCAATATCTTTTTATAGTGTGGTGACTAAAACTGGATGCAGTACTCTAGGTGTGGTCTTACTAAGGCTTTATAGAGTGGTATTAGTACCTTACTTGATCTTGATTGTATACCTCTGTAAATGCAATTTAGGATTGCATTGGCTTTTTTGGCTGCTGCTGCTGCACACTGCTGGCTCATATTTAACTGATTGTCCACTAGGACTCCAAGATCCCTCTCACAGTTACTGCAATTAAGCCTGGTTTCACCCAATCTATATGTGTACTTTTGGTTCATGAGTGCCTGTGTTCTACCTGGCCAAATCTCTAAACGATACACCCAGAAACATAAACTATTACTATAGTCACAAGATCGTAACAGCCATCTTGACTTTTCTGACTGTCCTCCTCACATAGGTATCCCTGATTTCAGGCGTCCCTGACATGGATAGAATCTAAAGCAGGGTAATAGCTTGAAGGCACCAAAGTGCCAATTAAGGTTTAAGAAAGAGTATTGAATTCTTAAGCTCTTTGTGTCTGCATGACGGTGCAGAATAATAAGAAAATCTATGGCAAAATGATAAGGAAATCTATGCTACAAAGGAGAGATGCAGCAATAAGCAGATGATGTTTTATTGCACATTTGTCTTTCTTCAAACATGGACTCGTAGGGGGCTTATCTCCCATTTCTAATTTTTTCACATCCCACTGCTTCTTCCATCTGTTTTCTTTCCATAAAATAAATGTTAAGGCAGCAAAAATGGAAGAGCTGCACAATGTATTTTGATTCATAGAGCTTGCAATTGAAACAGCCAATAAACAGGAACAAGGAAGAAAACTGATCTAGGGAATATTAGCACAAAGCTTATAACAGTAGTCATTTTGAGATAGGGCTGAATATCAATTTTTGTCAGCTTTTCATTTTTCTAGTCATAAGCCTGCATTCATTTGAAAATAAGCAATAATCATAAAACAGCAAAAAAAAAAAGTCTGCATTTCCTGGTGCTCCTATTTCCAGGACACAGTTTTGTCTCACATGTGTTACATTTACAATTATGTATTTTTCCCTAATGCATTACATCATTATTCTGTGTTATTTTCATGCAAAGATGATTGTTTGGATGCACTTTCCTCTAGCAATGACAATTTCATACCCTTGAGAACCACAACATGTTACATGCAAAGTTGAGAGAAATTTTGGAGGAAATTGGATTTTGGGGTATATGTTGGTCTGGAACAGAGGTGGTATTCAGCCAGTTCTGACAGGTTCAGGAGAACCAGTAGCGAAAATTTTGAGTAGTTCAGAGAACCGGCAAATACCACCTCCGACTGGAGATTTTACAGTATCCTTCCCCTGCCATGCCCACCAAGCCATGCCCGCAGAACCGGTAGTAAAAAAATTTGAATACCACCACTGGTCCGGGAATGTGTAATTTTATGAGCCTTACAAGGCGACACAAACAAATTTGTCCCCAGTTCTTATTTGGGAGCAATTTCCGGTAGCTGTGCATTTTCCCCCCTAAAAATATTCCTTGCCTTTTGGAGTTATGATTTCAGGACATTGCACAATTGAAACAAATCCATTTTCCCACACACCTTGGTCTCAAGTGGCATCATTTTATAAAGTCCACAGGAGCAAGAAGAAGAAAAATAGCAAAGATTTTTTTTTCTTAACAGCTGTATAGTTAGAGATAGCCATGCTGTTTTCTATTGTTATGTGATCAGAGATCAGATTCTTCAACATCATTACTTATCCTGTTGGAGATTTAAACATGCCCCAAGGAGAAGCTCAACATAACACATTGTCTGTCTAACCTCTTCAAGTTCCAGGATCTTACTAGGTTTGTTGGATTCCCTCCAAAAGCCACTGCTTCCAGCTGTACTGAAATGGTGCGTGCTTCTTAAAAATAAATGCTATGAACTGTAATGGAATAAAAGGTAGCAAAAAAGCAATAGATACACAATGCATTGCTTACTTTTAAAGCCATTTAAAGATACTCATTGCTCTCCCTTTTAACTTATATCATCGTTCATTGCTGTAATGGAATTTGCATGGCTTCCAAGTCTCTTCCAACCAGAAAATGTTATAACGTTATAACATAAAACTTAACATATAAAATGTTATAAACACAACACTACTACTTTTTTATGACCCTGTAATTCCTTAATTCAGGGTACAGTCTGGGCAACTGAGTGGAGCTGAGCATTTAGAGGCTGGATGCCATTCCTGACTTCGCAGAGTTTGCAGCATATATTTTCCCTTTCTGCCCTTACCTTGAATCAAACTCTCAACCTTCCAAATGGGAGGTGAGCATCTTCACCATTAGGCCACTCTGTCCCTATAAATCAAAACATTCCTGATAGGGAAAAAAAGCCACCAATTATAACTCAGGGTGGAACTGGAGGGGTCTTGATGGTTTTCTTGTAGATATTTTATTACCAAACTAGATAACATCATCAGTGCTAGAAGGGAATGGGGTTTGTTCTTATATTTTAGTGGCTTGCCCTGACAGTGTTGGTAGGAGTGTTCCTGGTGGTTCCTTGGTTAAGCTGTTGTTTAATATTAGCTTGTTTGTCTCCATTGGTAGTTCCTTCATTGAGTTATTGTTCCCTTGATTGCTGGTCTAGTGTTAATCTTGGTATCAATCTCTGCTCATATCGGCCTGGATTGCTGGTAAGGAGGTGTTTGTTTGTTTTCTTTTGGGCTTTTTGATTGTCTCTTTTGTGTGGTATATAGATGCAGAGCACTTTCTTATGCCTAGGGGGCCAGTTTGCTTTGGAGCTGAGCCCCCACAAGACATCCTGTCAGGCTCTGACAAATCCACCTCCATTTAAATCATAAGTCTCTAGCTGCATCTCTCAGAGTAAAAAAAAAAAAGATTTATTAGGAGTGACCATGTTGGCGTTACCTGGGTGCAGCTGACACTAAGACACTTCATTCATATCCCCCTTCCCCCCAACCCCCTGGATGCATATTCTCC